AATGGGTGCCGTCAGAATGAGAGTCCAAACAGCTGATAAAAACATCACAATAATCCACAGCACTCCAGTCCATCAGTGAACATCTGGAGAAGACAAAAGCTGAAACACATCCAGCATTAAGACGTTTTTAACTCAAATACGAGTCAATAACGCTTCCTGCAGTGAAAAAGAGCAATGGATGTGAATGGGTGCCGTCAGAATGAGAGTCCAAACAGCTGATAAAAACATCACAATAATCCACAGCACTCCAGTCCATCAGTGAACATCTGGAGAAGACAAAAGCTGAAACACATCCAGCATTAAGACCTTTTTAACTAAAATACATTGAGTGCATAATCCATAATAACTCTTCCTGCAGTGAAAAAGAGCATCTGCTGTTGTCTCTCACATCAAAATCCAGCCACGTATTAGTTTAGAGCTGTTTAAACTGTGCTTGATCTGTGCAGATTTCTCTCCTGATTCACACCAGAACGCTTTCTCACTGGAGGAAGCGTATTTTATTTTAAAAAAACGTCTTGATGGATTTGTTTCAGCTTTTGTCTTCTCCAGATGTTAACTGATGAAGAAACAGATTTTCAGCAGATTTAAATTTTTAGGTGAACTATTCCTTTAAGAAATTTCTTAGGATAAATTAAGTTTGTAAGAATGTTCTTAAGTGCGATTCTTGAACAATTCTTAAGATGTGCTCAAAAATCGTATCATAAAATCATATTTTTTCTTAAGAAAAAAATGTAAGACTTAAAACAAGTTGGCGGTTAAGATGAATTTTACTCTTATAAAATGTTTGTGGGAATACAAAATATTCTTACGTTGACTCTTAAGTTACAAAATGAGAGCGTGTTTTGTGAATCTGACTCCGTGTGTCTACAGCCGCAGGTTATTTAGATCCTCGACTGATTGGACTCTCAGTATCAGCTGACACAATTCAAACTTCCTGTCTTCAATCACTGTGGGAGATTTCTGCTCTGAAACCAAGTGTGCAACGTTTCCAGAGATTCAAGGTTTTAAAGACCCAGAGCCGTTGAGACTTTACAAGAGCATATGGAGAATCATTCAGTGTGTGTGTGTGTGTTTAGGGAGCTGGGGAGGTCAGAGGTCATGACTGATAAACACTGATGTCTGACTTCTCACCCCCTGATGAGTTCCATGCGTATGTGTGCGTGTGTGTGTGAGAGAGAGTGTGTGTGAGAGAGAGAGTGTGTGTGTGTGTGTGTGAGTGTGTGTGTGCGTGCGTGTGTGTGAGAGAGAGTGAGGTTGTGTTTAGTTGCAGCACTGTGGTCTGCTGCTCTGTATACATGACTCTCTGTGGGTCTTTTTCTTTAAAGACACACACACAGACACACACACTCACACACATACACACACTCACACACACACGCACACACACACACACACACACACACACACACACACACAGCCGTTTACAGCCTTTACCCTGGATTCGTCTCTCTCATATAATCCGTCTCCCTCCTTTCCTCAAGCCTCTCTTCCCAAAATCTGGCTGAGGAGAAGGAAAAGTGTGAGTCACTCTGAGTGGCTGCTCCCGAGTCAGAAACTGTGTGTGTGTGTCTGTCTGGAGGAGACGGTTGCTATGGTTTCATGGATGACGTCATCCTCTCTGCACCGTGGCAACTGTGTGTTTTATATCTGATGACGAGCATCTGACCGAGCGGACACACACGCTACACACTCGGAAAACCGCTGACATTCATAAAGACCCAGAGAAAAGAATGCGATCCCAAATCCTCCAGAACTTCAGATCTCAGCTATTTCTCAAGCTGTGCTCAGAGTTAAAACTCAAACTCAAGACTCAACTTCTTCATTGCAATGAGAAAACAAACGACAACAAAAAGTCAGAACTTGGGAATAGAAAAGAATCACCCTCTTTAAAAGAATCACATTTTGTTCTATCTTTCACTTGATGTTACAAGTAAATACAGCTGGATAAAACAAAGCAACAAAATATGATTCTTTTCTATACCCACTGTACATATAATCTTATTTACCATACAATACTGCTTCCAATAATAAACTAAATGTATTAAATATGTACTAAATTATTTTTACAACTACAATTCTACATTATTTACTAAAATAAATACTAAATTAATAAATAATTAATCAAACTTAAAAAATGCACACTCATTTTGCACATTAATGTTATAAACATATCTTCTCTACCTAATCGGAAATCAGTTTTATTTTAATATAATTGATAGTTTTTTTTAGTATTCTGAATTAGTTTTTATTTTTACATTTTACAGTTTTAGTAATTTTGTTGTGTTTTTGTCTTTTTTTTGTTGTCTATATACTTGTATTGAATTTTATTTTGTTTTAGCTGTTTTAGTACTTCAACTTAAACCAAATAAAAATGAGAAATGTTGCCTTGGCAACTAGCTGAAATAAGCTGCATTTTTTTACATGATTATTATTATTTTACTATTTGCTTTCAGTTAACATTTATTTCATTTCAAACAATTATTATTTATTTTTGATTTTAGTTCATATTTTCAACAGGGTTATTATAGTTAAGTATTTTTATCTCTGTAATTTTAGAAGAAAAATAGATTCTTCAGTGAAACTTCACAGCATCTCATGAGCAGCAATCACGAATCTCTCCGCCGCGGGAAGCATCACGTGCCCCGTTCTTTTTTCGTCCGCTCCAGCTGGCCGGTGTGTTTTTAGGGGCGTTACGGCAGGGCGCGGTGCTCGCTCTGGTGGGCAGGGGAATACCGGGCCGTGCCCGCTGGGCTCCGGGCCCTTTAAAAGAATCACATTTTGTTCTATCTTTCACTTGATGTTACAAGTAAATACAGCTGGATAAAACAAAGCAACAAAATATGATTCTTTTCTATACCCACTGTACATATAATCTTATTTACCATACAATACTGCTTCCAATAATAAACTAAATGTATTAAATATGTACTAAATTATTTTTACAACTACAATTCTACATTATTTACTAAAATAAATACTAAATTAATAAATAATTAATCAAACTTAAAAAATGCACACTCATTTTGCACATTAATGTTATAAACATATCTTCTCTACCTAATCGGAAATCAGTTTTATTTAGTATTCTGAATTAGTTTTTATTTTTACATTTTCATTTTCATTTTCAAGTTTTAGTAATTTTGTTGTGTTTTTGTCTTTTTTGTTGTTGTCTATATACTTTTATTGAATTTTATTGTTTTAGCTGTTTTAGTACTTCAACTTAAACCAAATAAAAATGAGAAATGTTGCCTTGGCAACTAGCTGAAATAAGCTGCATTTTTTTTTACATGATTATTATTATTTTACTATTTGCTTTCAGTTAACATTTATTTCATTTCAAACAATTATTATTTATTTTTGATTTTAGTTCATGTTTTCAACAGGGTTATTATAGTTAAGTATTTTTATCTCTGTAATTTTAGGAGAAGAAAAATAGATTCTTCAGTGAAACTTCACAGCATCTCATGAGCAGCAATCACGAATCTCTCCGCCGCGGGAAGCATCACGTGCCCCGTTCTTTTTTCGTCCGCTCCAGCTGGCCGGTGTGTTTTTAGGGGCGTTACGGCAGGGCGCGGTGCTCGCTCTGGTGGGCAGGGGAATACCGGGCCGTGCCCGCTGGGCTCCGGGCCCCTGAGGGCCAGCCGCAGCCTGCAGACTCCGCCATCAACCGACCGCCCTGACGGTTTATTTTAGCTCTGACGGCTCTAATCAGTTCCAGCCGCATGTGGCGGAGACTAAAATTCACTCTGCTCAATATGTATATATGGGTCAAAGACAAAAAAGGGTTTAAACATAAAAACAATAATGCTTTAAATTGTTGTTTTTCAAAAAAAAAAACAAGTAAAAGTTTTCTGTTTAATGTAATTGTATTTTTGTTTTTCTGGATCTCTCCGCCGCGGGAAGCATCACGTGCCCCGTTCTTTTTTCGTCCGCTCCAGCTGGCCGGTGTGTTTTTAGGGGCGTTACGGCAGGGCGCGGTGCTCGCTCTGGTGGGCAGGGGAATACCGGGCCGTGCCCGCTGGGCTCCGGGCCCCTGAGGGCCAGCCGCAGTCTGCAGACTCCGCCATCAACCGACCGCCCTGACGGTTTATTTTAGCTCTGACGGCTCTAATCAGTTCCAGCCGCATGTGGCGGAGACTAAAATTCACTCTGCTCAATAAATATATATATATATGGGTCAAAGACAAAAAAGGGTTTAAACATAAAAACAATACTGCTTTAAATTGTTGTTTTTAAAAAAAAAAAACAAGTAAAAGTTTTCTGTTTAATGTAATTCTATTTTTGTTTTTCTGGACTCTCCATAGGCGTAATGGTTTTTCTACTGTACAGACCGTATATTCTATTGCCCTACACCAACCCTACCCCTAAACCTACCCCTCACAGGAGACTTTCTGCTATTTCAGATTTTCAATACACTCCATTCTGTGTGATTTATAAGCGTTTTGAAAAGTGGGGACATGGGGTAATGTCCTGAAAAGTCACCTTCTCCTTGTAATACCTGTCATACCTTTGTCATTATACACATTTATGTCCTCACTTGTCACAAAAATGCACACACACACACACACACACACTCACACTCACACTCTCTCTCACACACACACACACACACACACACACACAGGAGCCTGATGTCTCCTCTGCACTTTTTCTTTCTGTTACCTTAGTCACTCATCACTGTTATGATCACTCATGTTAATGATCTCAACAAACCCATAACACTACGTATGAACTGTTAACCGATCAGATTTATGGTGTTAATCGAAACTCAGTGTTATTTTAGTGTCACTGAAGACCAACTGCATAGCAACACACTACAAGCTACTCTGAACACTTTAGTAACTGCTTAGGACTTGTCTGTCCTCTGTTCTGTCTTTTCTTCAAGGTCTTAAGCAATTTCAAGCTGAATCACTTCAAGTCAAAGTCACACACACAATCTTTCTCACACTTTTCATTAATCTCAGTAAACTCTGTTCTGCCCCCCCCCCCCCCCCCCGCAGGAGAAAGAGAAGAAGTACATGCTACAGGTGGACAATCTGAAGTTCAGAGACGTGGAGAAGGGCTTCATGTCCAGCAAACACATCTTTGCCCTGTTCAACACTGAGCAAAGGTCAGAGGTCATAATCCTTAATAATGATTGCGAATAGCCAACATGAAAAAGCTTCTAAAACCTTTTGTCATGTGACGTTAAAGTAAAACAAGATGTTCAATGGGAACAAAATGAATGTTTATGTGAAAAAAAAGACAGAAATGTTATTTCAAAGATGGAGAAAGTTATTATTCTTTATGTATTTTTTCTTTAGAATTAGATGCATTGATGAATCAATCACAGTAAGATCAGCATCAACAGTTTCAATAGGCTCTATTTGAACCCTGTAAAGCTTGACATATGAAATCATAATTTAAAAAAAATGGAACAGTTTATTGAACCTTTAGATCTTTTTTTTTTAAATTTAATCTAAAAAAAATGCACATATGTGTTTTTGTTGAGTATCTTATTTGATGCATCAGGCTTTTCTGGCTCATATAGTCTGATACAGTGAGAATACAGAGGAAAAACAGCTCAGTTTTATTCACAAAAACATGAATTTGCTGCAGATGCTGATATTTCTATGATGATATTCTGCTGCTTGTGATGTAAATCAATGAGATCTTTATAACAGTGCAGCAGATTCTGACATGAAATGATCTAAATATCAGTCGTGGCTCAATATCTCCAGTAATAATAAGATGAGACTGAAATGCTCCAAACATATAATGCAGTGATTGAGAGCTGGATAAATAAAGGCTCCTCAGAAGATGTGAGATGTTCTGGAGGCTTGTGAAGATCATTCCTCCGCTGAGGAACAGTGAAAGTAAAGCTTCTGGAAACAAACGCTCCTCAAAAGATCCTGAGGATCAGATTTGAGACTCTAAAACATGATTGATGGAGAATCAAGTAAAGCTGAGCTGCTTCAGTCCAGTAAGTGTTCATCTGGAGATATTACTGACGTTATTCTGACCTTTACTTGGTAAACATCAGTCAAGATCTGACTCGAGAAGCTCCAGCTGAAGCTGGACGCTTGTACAATTACACTAAAAGAGCTTCGACTGGATAAAAAAGTTTTCGACTATCATGTTGACTATCATGTTTCCATCTAATGCCATGACAGGAACGTGTATAAGGACTACCGTCAGCTGGAGTTGGCCTGCGAGAGTCAGGAGGATGTGGACGGATGGAAGGCGTCGTTCCTGCGTGCCGGCGTCTATCCCGAGCGCGTGGTGGTGTGTGTTCAGATTGATCAGATGTGAGTAGGAATGCATGAATAGAAATGATGCACCTCAAAATGCTTTTCTCTTTCTCTCACGCTGCTTCCCGTGGCGTCGCTCTAGGAGAAGGAAAAGGTACAAGCTTTGAGTAGCATTGAGTTTTTTTATGCATCTTTTGCATTGGCGTTTTCCGTGTTTGTGTGATTGTGTCTGTGTTTGTCTGTAGAGCGACGCTGGAGACGAGAACGGGTCGGACAGTTTCATGCACTCCATGGACCCTCAGCTGGAGAGGCAGGTGGAGACCATCCGAAACCTGGTGGACTCCTACATGAGCATCGTCAACAAGACTGTACGAGACCTGATGCCCAAGACCATCATGCATCTGATGATCAGTAATGTAAGCAGCATCAGAAGCTCGTCTGTGTTCAAAATTCATTCTAAATGATCAACATGATCAAAACTTTGCTTTTAAACCTGTTGCATACAATCTGCTACATGCCTCTTGTCGTCAGATTAATAGTTTAGACTTTACGTAAAAGCTCTTTTAGTGTAATTGTACAAGCGTCCAGCTTCAGCTGGAGCTTCTCGAGTCAGATCTTGACTGATGTTTATCAAGTAAAGGTCAGAATAACGTCAGTAATATCTCCAGATGAACTCTTACTGCACTGAAGCAGCTCAGCTTTACTTGATTCTCCATCAATCATGTTTTAGAGTCTCAAATCTGATCCTCAGGATCTTTTGAGGAGCGTTTGTTTCCAGAAGCTTTACTTTCACTGTTCCTCAGCGGAGGAATGATCTTCACAAGCCTCCAGAACATCTCACATCTTCTGAGGAGCCTTTATTTCTTCAGCTCTCAGTCACTGCATTATATGTTTGGAGCATTTCAATCTCATCTTACTGAGACAGATTACTGCAGATATAGAGCGATGATTGATATTTAGATCATTTTATGTCAGCATCTGCTCTACTGTTATAAACATCTCACTGATTTACATCACAATCAGCAGAACTTCATCATAGAAATATCAGCATCTGCAGCAAAATTGATCAGTTTGAGTCTCTGAATAAAAGTCTCTTTTTTTTCCTCTGTATTCTCACTGCATCAGACTATATGAGCCATAAAAGCATGATGATCAAATATGATACTCAACAAAAAACACAAATGTGAACCTGGAGCACAAAACCAGTCATAAGGGTCAATTTTTCAAAATTGAGATTTATGCATCATCTGAAAGCTGAATAAATAATCTTTCCATTGATGTATGGTTTGTTAGGATAGGACAATATTTAGAAAATCTGGAATCTGAGGGTGCAAAAAAATCTAAATATTGAGAAAATCATCTTTAAAGTTGTTCAAATGAAGTTCTTAGCAATGCATATTACTAATCAAACATTAAGTTTTGATATATTTACGGTAGGACATTTACAAAATATCTTCATGGAACATGATCTTTACTTAATATCCTAATGATTTTTGGCATAAAAGAGAAATGTATAATTGTGACCCATACAATGTATTGTTGGCTATTGCTACAAATATCCCCCAGCGACTCAACACTGTTTTTGTGCTGCAGGGTCACAAATGCAAACTTACATTTTTTAAAAATGAGGTTTCCTGACTGTTATCCTAAAGAACACTGTTGTGAGTGCGTCTCTGCTCTCTCAGACGAAGGAGTTCATCAATGCGGAGCTGCTGGCTCAGCTGTACTCGTGTGGAGACCAGAACACACTGATGGAGGAGTCAGCCGAACAAGCGCAGCGGCGCGACGAGATGCTGCGCATGTATCACGCGCTCAGAGAAGCACTGAACATCATCGGGGACATCAGCACCACCACCATCTCCACCTCTCTGCCTCCGCCTGTGGACGACTCCTGGCTCCAGGTGCAGCGCACCGGCTCCGGAGGAAGGTGCGTTCAGGACGGAGAGGACCGATGGATGACACACGGATAAACTGATGGGCTAATCGAGGAAATTATGACTTCAGTGGAGAAAGAAAGTCTTGATGTAGAAATAGACATTCAATATGTCACTGAGACTTTTAATTACTTCTCTGCTGCTAGACACTTTATTTATAATCATAATTTTGTGGTTAAAAAAAGTTAAAATTATTATTATTTATTTTTATCATCACTATTTTTTTTATTATTATTTATTATTTTAGTTATTTTGGCCCAAAAATTAGCAAATACTGTGGATCTCCAAAATCAACACAGTGCAAAGAGTAAAAGTAGTAAAAGGTTATGAAGTATAATAATAATAATAATATTATATATATATATACTACTATATATATATTATATACTGGAATTAATATTATTATAAGCTATAATAATAGTTATTATATTTTAATTTGATTAAATTTTATTTTTATATTTTATTATATTATTTATTTTTAAATAGTAAACGTGTATGGAGTACAATAATAATATCCTATACTGTAATAAATATATACTTTAAAAACTTTATTATTATAAGCTAGAATAATAATTATTATATTTTATTAATTTAAGTAGAAAAAGTTTATGGAGTGCAATAATATCCTACACTGTAATAAATATACTTTAAATGCTTTATTATTATTATAAGCTACAATAATAATGGTTATATTTTAAGTAGAAAAAGTTTATGGAGTACAAAAATATCCTATACTGTAATAAATATATCCTGTAAATACTTTATCATTATAAACCATTATAATAGTTTTTTATATATATATAAATATTTTTTATTAATACTAATAGCTATATAGTGTACTTTTTAATTTACTCATCCTATTTGGCTTAATGCTAGGCTCATGAATATTAATTATATTCTAAAGAGGAAAGTTCAAGAAAGTTCCCCAGCAATGTTAGCAGGAACTCATTAATATTCATAAGCTCAGCCTTAGGTCATGATGTCAGAACCAGCCTCCTCCACCAGTTTAAAACAAATGCCACCATGAACACACCACTAATGCTTAGTTACAGAATGGGACAGTAGCGCCACCTGCTGCTGGAATGTGAAATGAGCTTACTGGCTACCACAGAATCCATAAGAGATGCATGCATACAATTAAATATGTAAATGAGAAAAGCTGATTTCTGATTATTTGTTGCTCTTTAAATGTAACTTTTAGAATGTGATGCAAAACAGTATATGTAGCGGTAAATAAAATAAGATTGACTTTGATTAAGTCAAAGTGTGGTGTGTTATCACCGAAGAGAAATTTGTTATTGTCGCTGCACAAACAAAGGTGAGAAAAAACGTAATATTTGAAAAACAATATTTCTCCGTTAGGTCTCCGGCGACCAGCCCGACCCCTCAGAGACGGGCCCCTCCTCCGGGGCCTCCAGCACGCTCAGGTTCTCGTGGCTCGACCCCGGGGCACCCTGCTGCCGGCGGGCCACCCGTCCCCTCTCGCCCGGGAGCCTCTCCGGACCCGTTCGGCGGGCCCCCACCCCAGGTCCCGTCCCGGCCTAACCGCGCACCTCCCAGCGTGCCCAGGTGAGACTCGATTACCTCAGACAGTAGAAACTGCTAATGAAACAGTGCATTTGTGCTGGAAAACAATAATAACGCGCTCAGATTTGAGACGCGTGTCATTTCTGCAACACTAACTCCATCGAATGAAATAGCAAACTGTGGGCCTATATGTTTGTCCTAACAATGGAAGACAACCAATTCCGTCTGATGACGCTAGTGCAGCAGAAATGATACGCAATGCACATGAAACATTCAGAAATGCTCAAACAAGACTAACCTTCTAGTCCTGCAGTCTAATAAGAACATCCGTTTGCTCTTAGCCGCGGAATGTGAGACTGTAACCGCTGGAGTAAGAGCAGTGGTGTGGGTGAGTTAACCGGTCACCATACCAACGTTTAAACCATAAGCAGCCATCACCGAAACTCGACTCATTGTTAATCAAAGTGTCATCAAATCAGATTCAGATGCCCACGCTTCTAACTCTTATTATCGTTCAAACGTTACAGATTTAAACCATGTGATGCACAGTGTGTTCTCAGTAGAGCTGGGTGATAGAGCAAGCGTTCACTGGGATTTTGCATCGGATCATTAGACTCGGTTCCTTTTCTCGTGACGGAAATCTCTGCGTGGCATTTTTCATATATTAAAATGTTTAAAAGAACAGCGTTTATTTGGAATAGAGATCTTTATGATTTGAACGATTCTGTAAATTATAAATATTAATTAAAAAATATTTATTTTTAAATAGTTGTTTAAGTATTGAGGTTTCATATTAATAATATAAATACAAATTTAAGTAATGATTTCTTTAAAAAAATATCTTACCCCAAACTTTTAAACGGTACTTAATATACAGGTACGGATTACAAAAATTACAAACTGATTACTTTAACTATCTTTTCCCTACAGTTACATCTTGTATTTAGCATTTTGAATGATTGTTTGACTGAAACATCAAAATATCATCAAAAGGCTTATAAATATGCTTTATATGACCCAGCTCTAATAGTCAGCATATCTCATCTCGATCACGTCGGCTCACATCAGACGCTTTACTAACTGTGCACAGGACGGCCTGAGGGATGTTTCTGTTCTTTGCTTTTATTTGTGTTCATTGTTAAATTTGTCCTCTGTTGCGTGTGATTTGACTCGTTGTAACACTAACGGCAAATGCTTGCTTCCTGACAGCAACACGCACACACACACACACACGCACACACACACACACACACACACACACAC